ATAGATAGAAATGAAACCTGAGCAATGGGAATTCCGATGCTGATGTAGAACATTCCACATTGCACCTGGGAAATCAAATTTTAGCTCAGGTTGTATTTATTATGATACTTTAGGACTTGTGTTTTATGGATTCAAGATGAGAAAATCATTAAAAATCTGCTTGTCACATTAAGAAATCATTTAAAATTACTCCCTCAGGGATTTTTATTAGCAATATATTGTAAGAAATTTTCCTTCCCTGCCCATCTTATATTTACATAAAACATGATTTCTGTAGTTAACTAAAGAATTCAGTGTTCAGGAAGATTATGATGTTGGGAAATCCTCCTGAGACAATTTTTTTCACCACAGAGATTTTCCCCCAAATAGGAAGTTGTTTTGCTTTTTTAATCTGCAAATATCCTCACTTTTTCTCAAACCACTTTCCTTACTGTCAGTCTTCTGCAGGTTGTCAGCACATCTAAAAAGAGAAAACATAACCATTACATACCTAAAAAGACTCAATAAACCAAAGTAAAAAGTAAAACCTTGGATCTGAGGTCAAAGAACCAAACCCAGGTAAGACTGGAGTTTTCCAGTGAAATACCTAAGAAATCTAAAATTCAAAACCAAGGTCATGGTGTGGAAGGACATTAACATACATTTTATCTTTACATAACAAATCGTCTCTAGGGAAATTTTCTTACTAGAAATCATAATTATCTCCATCAGTCGCTCCAGGGCAGTATCAGCAAGCTGATAACGCATCTGTGTCTCTGCCAATCACACCACCGCAGAAAGTGGAGGGAGAAAATCTGCTGCTCAAGAGTTCTATCTCTGAGCCTGTGAAATAGCCATTATCTCCATGGGAATCTGTATTTAAGACAGCTATCCAATCCTCATCTTTTCTTTTTTCAGTTTACTTTTATGCTTTCATGTAGCTGCATTCTGAAAAATATTTTCTTTAATTACTTTTCCTTTATTCTTCCAACTCAACATATATGTGTGTGTGTGTGTGTGTGTGTGTGTGTGTGTGTATGCATTTCCACAAAGCTATCTTGTTTTTATATAATTAGAGGGAACCTATCTTTCTGGTTCCCTCTAATTATATAAAAACCAGATAGCTTTGTAGAAATGTATATATGTTAAACACATATGTGTATACTGCATGGAAAATATAACTGATGTTTGAGTAGGTATCTAAAACAAATTGACCGACAGAAAACAAAATTCTTTAGAAAACTAACAAGTAGTGGTTACAATAATATGTAGAGATGCAATATATATAACCTGTATGAAAAATGTAATTGACAATTGCATAGAGTCATTATGTAAATGAAACATCAACCAATGAAAAACATGAAATTCTTCAGACATTTAACAAGTACTGATTGCAACAAAACACAGGGTTTTTTTTAAAAAAAAAAAACTTTTTTTAATATGTAGTAATTTTTGTTGTTATTGTTGTTGTTGTTGTTGTTTTTTGGGAATGGAGTCTCGCCCTGTCACCTAGGCTGGAGTGCAGTGGCACGATCTCAGCTCACTACAGCCTCCTCCATCTCCCGGGTTCTAGCAATTCTCCTGCCTCAGCCTCCCGAGCAGCTGGGACTACAGGCACACACCACCATGCCTGGCTAATTTTTTGTATTTTAGCAGAGATGAGGTTTCATCCTGTTGCCCAGGCTGGTCTCAAACTCCTGAGCTCAGGCAGTCCACCTGCCTCAGCCTCCCAAAGTGCTAGGATTACAAGTGTGAGTCACTGCACCTGGCCAGTAATTTTTTGATGTTTGAAATTCTGCAAAAAGACCAAATTTTCATTCCAATAATATCAGTTGTTAATGTTTTTCTGACTAATAATATAATTTTTTAACTACTTTCTTTTCTTCACTCAATCTCATGGTTCTATTCAACCTGCTAAGAACAAACAGTTCTTGTATTCAACCATTTCAATCATCAGAGTAAAATTTCAGGAAGATTATTCTTGTAAAACTCATGTGTGGACAATGATGTTTTTGTGAGGCAAAACTAGTGTGATCTGCTTTCAAGATTCCCTCCAGTGGGATCTGTTTTTGTTATTTTGCCATACAAGTAATGAATGTGTCTGAATATAGAAGGGATAGGAAAATTTAAGAAAGAGGTACATCTTTTATAAAATACTGAAAAGTTTCAAAAATATCACACTGATAAAACCAAACATATCTGAAGCCATAATTCATAACGGACTTAACACTGAAAGTCTGTATCAATGTTTTAAATATTTTCAGTACCCAGAAATATATGGTGAATACATGGTAGTGAATAAGTCTCATGAAACCTGACGGTTTTATAAATGGGAGTTCCCCTGCACAAGCTCTCTTGCCTGCACAAGCTGTCTTGCCTGCCGCCATATAAGATGTGACTTTGTTCCTCATTTGCCCTCTGGCATGATTGTGAGGCCTCCCCAGCCATGGGGAACTGTGAGTTAATTAAACCACTTTTCTTCATAAATTACATAGTCTCAGGTATGTATTTATTAGCAGCATGAGAACAGACTAATACAGTAAATTGTTAATGATAGAGTGGGGTGCTTCTGCAAAGACAGCCAAAATTGTGGAAGGCATTTTGGAACTGGGTAACAGGCAGAGGTTGGAACAGTTTGGAGGCTCAGAAGAGGACAGGAACATGTGGGAAAGTTTGGAACATCCTGAAGACTTTTTGAATGTCTTTGATGAAAATACTGGTAGTGATATGGACAAGAAATCCAGGTTGAGGCTGTCTAGGATGGAGATGAGGAACTTGCTGGGTACTGGAGTAAAGGTCACTCTTGCTATGCAAAAAGACTGGTGGCATTTTGCCCCTTCCCTAGAGGTCTGTGGAACTTTGAACTTGAGAGAGATGATTTAGGGTATCTGGCACAACAAATTTCTAAGTGGCAAAACATTCAAGAGGAAGCAGAGAATAGAAGTCTGACTATGCAATAAAAAAAAGAAAAATCCATTTTCTGAGGAGAAACTCAAGCCAGCTGCTGAAATTTGCATAGTAACGAGGAGCCAAATGTTAATCACCAAGACAATGGGGAAAATGCCTCCAGAGCATGTTACAGACCTTTATGGCAGCCCCTTCCATCACATGCCTCAAGGTCTAGTAGGGAAAAATGGTTCCATGGGCTGAGCCCAGGGACCCCTGCTCCATGCAGCCTCAGGGCATGGTGCCCTGCATCCCAGCTGCTTCAGCTCCAGACATGGCTAAAAGGGGACAACATACAGCTCAGGCCATTGCTTCAGAGACTGTAAGCCCCAAGCCTTGGTGGCTTCCACGTGGTGTTCGGTATGCTGGTACACAGAAGTCAAGAATTGAGGTTTGGGAACCTCTGCCTAGATTTAATAGGATGCATGGAAATGTCTGGATGTCCACGCAGATGTTTGCTGCAAGGGCAGGACCCTCATGGAGAGCTTCTGCTAGGGCAGTGTGGAAGGGAAATGTGGAGTTGAAGCTCCCACACAGAGTCCGCATGGAAGAACTGCCTACTAGAACTCTGAAAAGAGGGCCACCATCCTCTAGACCCCAAAGTGATAGATCCACCAATAGCTTGCCAAGTGCACCTGGAAAAGCCACAGACACTCAACACCAGCAGCTGAGAGAGGGGCTATACCCTGCAAAGCCACAGGACAGCTGCCCAAGACCATGGGAACCCACCTCTTGCATCAGTATAACCTGGATGTAAGACATGGAGTCAAAGACAATCATTTAGGAGCTTTAAGATTTGACTACCCTACTGGATTTTGGAGTTGCACAGAGCTGTTAGCCCTTTCATTTTGGCCAATTTCTCCCATTTGGAATGGGTGTATTATCCCAATGCCTGTACCCTCATTGTATCTAGGAAGTAACTAACTTGCTTTTGATTTTACAGGCTCATAGGCAGAAGGGACTTGCCTTGTCTCAGATGAGACTTTAAACTGTGGACCTTTGAGTTAATGCTGAAAGGAGTTAAGACTTTGGGGATCTATTGGGAAGGCATGATTGGTTTTGAAATGTGAGGACATGAGATCTGGGAGGGGCCAGGGGTGCAATGATACGGTTTGGCTATGTCCACACCCAAATCTCACCTTGAATTGTCATTATCCCCATGTGTCAAGGACAGGGCCAGGTAGAGATAATTGAATCATGAGGGCAGTTTCCCCCATACTGTTCTCATGGTAGGAAGTTTCATGAGATCTGATGGTTTTATAATTGGTAGTTCCCCTGCACAAGCTCTCTTGCCTGCTGCCATATAAGATGTGACTTTGCTCTTTATTCACCTTCTGGCATGATTGTGAGGCCTCTGCAGACATGTGGAACTGTGAGTCAATTAAACCTCATTTCTTTATAAATTACCCAGTCTTTGGGAACAGACTAATATGTAGTCCTAAACTTCATAACTTGTGTAACATAGCTTTCCCTAGTATGACTAACCACCACATTCCATATTCACCTCCATCTGTTTCCAGTATGTCCCATCCTTCTCAAAAAGAAGTGTCTATTCTCTGTATTGAGGACATCATTTATGAGGTATAAATTATTCATGTTATGCTTCTCATCTGGAGTGTTTTCTCTCCAGCCTCTAGGAGTGTTCAAGGCCTAAAAGCAGAGGTGACAAACAGGCTGCCTGCAAGTGAAACATGGCTCAACGACATGTTTCTTTATGGTCCACATAGTAGCCAATAATTTTAAAACTGAAAATTTTTATATAAAAATCCAAATTTTCATCTTCACCTGAAAACCTGGAACATGTGGTTGCACTGTCCCTCATGGCAATAGTTGGCTGGAGCTAAGCAGCTCTGGGACCTTCCTGGTGGGGCAGTGTATGTACTCCTTGGTCTAGCCCAGTTTTCATTTCTTCTTATTTCTTAGCCTGGCACTTCGACTTTTGATCTCTGACATGAAAGAATGAAATTATAGTAGCAAAGAGTGGAAAATCTTTGAACACTCATTCATAAGGGAAAGTTTCCACATTGTCTGTTATGACAGTACCTAATCTAAATAAAGCCAACCACAAATTTATCTATGTTTAATAAACTTTTTAACTACAGCTTAATCAACATTTATTGAATCCTGTTTTGTACCAAGAATTAGCTGAGGAAATGTGGACAAAGAGAAGAGTAAGGTATATTTCTGCCTTCCCATAATTAATCATGTAGTCAATAAAACAGAAATCTAAACAAGGTATTCTAATACAATGCAATAACAGATATATATACAAAAGGCACTAAAAGAAAATCTCAGAGCATCAGCTGTATTATATTCAAAGAACCAACTTACCCATAGATGTTATTAATGAATAGATGACAGATTTGATGGCTTACATCAGTTTAGTTTTTACAAGAGGAATATAAACACCTATGTCGTAATTGAGGACTGCAAACTACTCAAAGTCACAATTGTAATTTTGCATGCCTTGTAAAATGTCCTCTTCAGTAATCATGAAGCACTAAGAAATCAGTATCACAGTTCAGAATATAACTAAACTTTTTATTCCTAACCTATTATTTACCTGCCTATCTTAAAGAAATATCTTGGATGTTTAAGTTAAGTATCTACTTGATGAACGTTATATAAATCTGTTGCTACAGGCATCAATGTTTTGGATATTTTTCAAATATAGTGCAACCTGTTTATTTCAAATTTAATTCAAATAAGATGTATTTTGAACTGTCTCAGGCTAAATTTCTGGAACTTGAAGGTAACTTGAAGGAATTCGAAGGTAGGAATTATTACAATTCAAACTCATATCAATCTAAAGACAAGTCTCAGCTTTAGTTTTGGGTTTTTTATCAAGGCAAGATCAATCTCCTCCTGAATCTGACCCATTAATCTGCTTTTCCTCCTTAACCACACCCTTTCAAATTTTGAATATTTGAAAAGAGCTATCATACCTTCCTCACAAATATACTTATTTGATAATTTCCTATTTAGATTATTCATATGGCTCAATTATTTTTCAGTGACCTTTCTTCTCAAATGTTCCCCTATTTTTAAACATTCCTTGTAAAACATAGCACTTAGAAACAAATGAAGTATTGTAGATTGTGGATGATCAGGTCCAAGTTTGCCAGAATTATTTTTTTTTATGTTGACAATATTATTTTTGATCAAGCTTTGTATCCAATAACTGTTTTTGGTAGCATATCATACTTCAGATGCACATTGAACTTACATTATCCATTTGTTTCTTCTTAGTGCCGTATTTGGCTTCATCCACTAAACCATATGATTAGATAATTATTTGGTACATATGATAAACCTATAGTTCTAATGACAACATTTCTATAAAAGCTATGGATTTCAGATTCCTTGAAATAAATTTTCAGTCCACCTTTCAAGCAGTGTCTTCGCTGAGTGTAACACTGACTCAGTACAGGATACTTTTCATGGTATAGAGTCCCTAAGGACCAAGGAGTCCTGGAATCATATGTAATCTCATCACCCAATCATTTGCTCTACCGTAGAACCTTATGATATTATTTTAACCAAAAATCTGATTCACTATTATAGAAATTACCGTATTGTTGGAAGTGACTAAGATAATGGTCACTAGTCTGATGTCAGAGAGGAAAATCCAAATAATGACATGTCATTGTTTATCTTATTGATAACTGCATACCATTTTATACTGTAAATAACTGAAAATAAACATTTCTTAAAGCTTGGAGTAGACTGAATACTGGTGTCCCAAAGATGTCCGTGTCCTAATTCCTGGACCTTCGAATGTTTCCTTACATGGCAAAAGGGACTTTACAGGTGTGATTTAGTTAAGGATCTTCAGATGAGAGGATTCCTCTACACTACTTGGGCAGGCCCAATGTACTCACAAGAGTCCTTACAAGCAGAGGAAGGAGGGTCAGGACAGAGAAAGCCATGGATAATGGAAACAGAGGTCGGAGTGAAATGGGGCCACAAGACATACAGGCAGTCTCTAGAGCTGGAAAAAAGTAAGAAAACGGATTCTTACCCACAGCCTTCAAAAGGAGTGCAGCCCTGCTTGCCCATTTTGGATTTCTGACCTCCAGAATAAATGTGTGTTGCTTTAAGTCACTAAGTGTGGTAATTTGTAACAGAAGCAATAAGAAACTAATATGCTTCTTAATCAAAGACTCCAGGTAAAAAACGCGCTCATCTAATTAGACTTTGCTGGGGGTGGAATAAAACACAGCTTCTATTTATCCTGACAGATATTAAAGAACATAAGGGATTTTTCTTCTTCCTAATAGTGGCTTTAATAGTTTGATTTTTTTCAACTCTGCTACACTTTACATATATGGGAAGAAATTTGTACAATGAGTCTAATTTTCTATGATTTGTCAAGGGTACTTGAACAGTAAAACATATTACCAATCAATCATTAGTTTCTAATACCAAAAACTGGGTAAACAGCAAAACTAAAATGGTATTAAAAAGACTGATCATTCTTTATATTAATTGCTAACTCATTAATCAATTACTAATTTAGAAATATATAGATTATTAGGTATTACTAAGTGATAACTTGTGGACTTAAAGATAAATTTGGGTAAGGATAAAAAATTAAACTTCGTTTAGAATAATAAAATAATACCAAATCAGAATCAGAATCACACAATTCCAATGTTTAGAAACTGTAAAATTTATACTAAAATTTATTTAAGGCATTATCTGTCAAGCTAACACAGTTCTAAATGATTGTACAATGCTTTAGACAGGAATAGAAAATCAATAAGCTGGAGGTTTCAGCCATTCCTGTCATGGAACATTTTAAGATTTATGATATAAAATTGATTTGTGAAATCAGATGGAATTGCTGTATTTACCTTTCATTAACATGAATATAACTGTGCCACTAGTCAAAAATATTAATCACGTTGATTATCCTTAAGCAATTTCAAGTTTATTATTGAAAGCGTAAGTATTCATTTTCCCAAGTATTCAATAAGACTGCCTGTCAAATTACAAACAACACAATAAATTCTACAAAGTGTGGCGAAACAATAAAATCATTTAATATAATTGAATATTCCCATGAATTATATAAACATTAACCTCAATGATAAATCAAGAAGCAAATAACTTACTGGGTAGTTACAGTTCTTAGGTTCTAATCTGGCTCTGTCACTAACAACACTTCTGAAATCCACTGGAAATAATCTACTTGTAACCTTGACTCTATTTTCATTAATCACCACAAGGACTCTCAAGTCACCTGAATTTCCCATGCTTTAATCTCCTGTTGGACCCTATGCATACTTGATTTTTGTCCTCTTTTATTACCCATCCCTGATTCCTAAACCTTTTCTATCGTGTCCCTCAGGAACCATAATCAGAAGAATGCTTTCTATCCTAAAATTAGACTATGAATATTCTCTTCACTTTCTTGCTTTAATATAACTGGCTTTCCTTCATTTTCCAAGCTGTGGCTCTTGTCTCCCATAATCATTGTTGCAATAGCTTCACTATTCACAGAAGTGACTGAAAACCACACACACATGCACACAAATCACATCACAAAAAGTAAACTCAGTGTATCCTTGACATGACTTTGTAAGATTTCAAAAATGCCTATGGCCTCTCTCCATTGCCATCCAACAAGTGGACAACTATTGCATACAAGAAGCTAGATTGGCAGAGAGTGATCTTAACTGGTTGTGGTCAAAATAGTTTACTTCTATAAATATGGCAAAAGCACGTATCCCTGTGAACATATTACTAAAGCCCCTCCCAAGAAATAAGCTCCTGTAAGGAAGTGGGGTGGGGGAGGGGAGCTAGAATTCAAGCCTCATTAGTTCCATGGACACCCCGCGACTGCATGCATCCCACTCTCTTACCACCACCTCCTGCGTTTTCTCTCCACTCTCTCTGATATCTCAATGGCACATTTTAGTTTTTAGCTTCTCATTTTAAAACAATTTCAGACTCATAAAAAGTTGCAGAAATAGTAAAAACAGTTCCCATGTCTTCTTCACTCAGCTTCCTTAAATGTTAACATCCTATAAAGCCAGTATAATTATCAAAGTATAGTTACGAAAGCTAGGAGATTAAGACTGATGCAATACCATTGACAACCATAAACCTTATTCAAATTTCATGAGTTGTCTCACTAATATTTTCATTTTTTAGTATGGAATTTAATTTAGGATTCTACAATTAATTTAATTGTCATCTTGTCTCTAATTTGGCACAGTTCTTCATTTTTTCTTTGACTTTTATGAACTTAGCACTTTTGAAGAGTACTGACCATTTATTTTGTCAAATGTCCTTCAGTTGGGTTTGTCATTATTTCCTCGTGATTAAATCAAGCTGTGCATTTTTCAAAATAATACCACAGAAGTGGCGCACCCTTCTCAGTGCATCATATTAGGTGCTACATGATGTTGGTTTGTCCCATTATTGCTCGTATTAACTTTGATCATTTGGTCAAGGTGTTACATGCAGATTTCTCCACTGCAAAGTTAGTTTTCTCTGTGTAACTAATATGTATCTGGTAGGGAGGGAGACTATAAATATTCCATTTCTCATCATATTTTGTCAACTAAGTTTAGCATTCATCAATGATTCTTGCCTGTAACAATTATGATGTAACATTTGCTAAATGGTGATCCAAAACTCTCAGCCCTACGGGGACTCCATTCCATAGATCTTTCCGATGTTACTCTATCGTCGGCATTTTGGTTTTCTCACTTCCCTCTATGCATAGCTTAAGTTCAGTTCTCCATCATTATAATTACCCCCTTGCCTATATCCTCAACTCATTTTCTCTTCACTTGTATCACTGTATTTCCTGTTAAAACCACAGCTCTTCACCTACTCTTTGCCTACTCTTTTCCTACAACTATGGACTTGAGATTTGCTGATAAGAAAACACATAAGCAAATTAACTGGTTTCTTTTAAAATAATGTTCATTACCCCAAGAGAATCCCTAATATTGTCAGGTAATTATACTATGTATTTCTAGTTCATTATTACTTTACAACTCTTCACACCTTTTTCTCTCTCCTCCGGCTCCTAACACCTCCTTATCCATTTCCCCTCTCACCTGATGACCTTGCTTCATATTTTCTGAGAAAAATATGAAGCAACCTAATCAAACCTTTAGCCAACTCCCACCATAATATCCACTTGCTGGCATCTGCACTCACACTGGCTCCCACTGTTACCATAGGTGAAATTTCTATGTTTTAATACCGTGTATAAAAGCTTATCCTTTTTCATCTACCCAAGCACATTGCTTCAGCAGTTTCTCTCACTTTTGCATCATCAAAGTTTTCTCTATATTGAATCATGCCATCAGCTTACATTTTATTATTCCTGTCTTTTTTTAAAAAAAAATCTTTCATTCCACTTTTCCCACGTTACCACCCCATTACTTTGCTCCTCTTTATAGCAAAACTCTTCAAAAATTGTTTTCAATGGTTACTGTCCCCAATTCCTCTCCTTCTAGTCACTCGAATCTACTTCACTCAGATATTTGCTTCTACTGTTCACTGAAACTGATCTTCTAAAAGTCATCAAAAACCATTACATTACAAACTCACAGTTAGTTCTGAGTACTCTTTTTGCTTCACCTAGCAGTGGTACTCATCACAGCTGAACATTCTCTCCCGCATGTCACAGTGTGTTCCCTTACCACCAAAGGAAACATTCTGTGTGTTTCTTCTGTTTGACCGATGTTCTGCCTCTACACCTTTTTCTCATTTAAGCCTTTGGATGTTGAAGTATCCCAGGTTTTACTCATTCTGATGATCTCATTTAATCTCATACCTTTAAATGCCATTTATATTGTGTATTAGTTTGCTTGGGCTGCCATAAACAAATACCATAGACTAGATGTCTTTAAAAAGAGAAATTTATTTCTCAAAGTTCTTAAGGCTAGAAGACCCACATCAAGGGGTCAACAGAGCTGGTTTCTCCTGAGACCACTCTCCATAGCTTGCAGAGGTCAGCTTCTCACTGTGACCTCAAATGGTCTTTTCTCCATGTGTCTTCACCCTTAATGTTGCTCTATGTGTCCAAATTTCCTCGTCTTCAAAGAACAAATCAGATTGGTTTAAGATCCTCCCTAAAGACCTCATTTTAATCTGAACACCATTTTAAAGGCCCTGTCTCCAAAGGTAGTCATATTCTGAGGAACTGGGAGTTTCTCCACTTCGATATATGAATTTGGGAAAGACAATTTAGGCAATAATATATGGCAATTCCAAATTTTATACTGCCAACTCAGACCTTCCTCCCCAAATTCAGATTCATATATATGATAGCTTTAACATCTCTCTAGAATTTTATCCTGGAAATCCGCTCTCCCCACAGCCATCTCTGTCTTAGGTCTCAGTAACTCCATTTTACCGTCCTTTCGTGATTCTGGTCAAAAACCTTAGAATCCTCCTTCACCCTCTCTTCTCTAACTGCTCACATACAATCCACTAGAAAGTCATGTCACTCTACCTGCAAAATATATTTAAAATCTGATCCTTTATCATTCTCTTCACTGCAATCACAATGAACTAAGTCAACATCATCTTTTGCCTGGATTTCTGCAATAGTTTCCCAGGTCTTCCTCTTGCTTTTTTGTAGTCCATTCTCAAAACAGAAGCCATAAATGATCCTTTTAAGACTTAAGTCAGACTATATTGCTCTTCTGTTCAAAACCCTTCAGTGGCTTGACATTTCACTTGGAGTAATTTGAAAGTCCTTACAAGGAATTAAAAGGCGCTGCCTGTTCTGGGTCCAACTCCCTGTCCCCATAACGCTCTGATCTAATCCTGTACTTCTCACATTAGCTTACTACACTTCAGCCAAACTGACCTCTTCTACCCTAAAACACACCAGTCATGCTCCTGCTTTAGAGCCTTCGTTTTGGCTACTACTCTGTCGTTTTTCCAGGTAAACTGCTAACTTCATGGCTCGCTCCTTCACCATCAAGACTTGGTTTAAATCTGAATCTTACCAATACA